GAGCTTCAACAACAGCACATCTCCTTTTCACTGTATGCTTTGCAGTCATTTACTGCTTGGCTCTACGACCGGCCATAAGCTCTCATCTCCTCGTCACACGACACACGCTCAACTCGTCGTTTCCTATTCTATGTCAGTCAACGGTCTCCTCAGCGTGTGACCGATCCACCTCTGTTTCCCTAAGCATATTTGTTGGGCAATAGGTTCTTGTACGGTAGTCAACACATGATGAATTCAGTCAAGATTCTTGGGGTGATTAAATAATGGAGAACGCTACTCTCTACTAAAAGGCAGTTTTTATTTTGATTATAGCTTGATTCCAGACAGTATTTTGGTACTGGTATGGAATTTTCAGCATATGATATCGGTAGCCGAAATTTAGCAGGCCGACACCATTGATATCAGGCGTGCGTCGGCCGGGGATCGAACCTCGGAACATATGCTGCATGGTCAGCGAGCGTCCTAACCGCTGTGCCACCGACGCAAACGTTCACTTTCCTAGCTTCCTTTGCTCTTCAGATCTTTCTTTCGTTCAACTATGCTGACAGATGAATCACTGAGCTATACTCTTCAGTTTTACATTCGTGTTAACCTAATTTAAATAAAGTGTTGTTTTTTCTCAGTCATTTGGTGATAGCATCGATTAGACAAATGTTTCGTTTGTTTTTTTCTTTGTTATTATGATCTATTTATTGTGGGTCTTTGTGTGGGTATACTCAAACATCTGTGAATTTTATGAGTTTGTTTGTATGCACGTGTGTTTGTGTGTGTCGGGGGGTATTTCTGTGTTAAGAAACCAGACAATGATGTTGTGTGTGTGCGTGTGTGTTTATTTTGTCTTAAGAGTTGGATGGATTGATGAACGATGCCATCGTTCTGGTACATAATCAGTACACAGTGATTATGTATACATAGTTTAATAAATTTAGGTCAGTGATACTCTGGACTATTGCCAAAAATATTTGAGTTCGTTCACTGAATACCAACCACAATCACCCTCATACCCTACCCTCCACCACAACCTATTGACACGTGCACTTAAAACACCAGAATAGATACTAAATGTAAACATACACAATGCTGAGGTGTTTACAAAGGTAGTATATCTTCCCGGCCCCAAAATACAACTAGAGTTAAAAATAATTGAATATCAACTAAATTTAAAAAAAACTTTTAGGTTGCCTGGGGATGCTTAAGAGTGTTTTAGGCTTTGTTTTAACGAATACACACCGCCAGAGCTGGCTTCGATACCATATGTTGCGCTTCTTTTAGTTCAGAGTCCCTAGCTTAGCAATATATTATAGGAAAAACAAAATGATAATTGCAGCAAAGATAATTTCTTTTCTCTTCGACGAAGTCACCAATTAGACTGTACATCTTTTTTATTCCTTCACGTTCCCAGTGGGACATAGGGCTTCAAGCTAGAGGATTGAAGTTTCTGTAGCAATGTTCATTTTTATAAGATGGGGTTACTGACCTTATGCCAAACCTTCCCTTTTTACCAGCTTTATTTCTGACTTAGCGGGGTAAAGGAGTGAGTCGGCCGGGGATCAAACCCAGGACCATGTGCATGGTCGGCGAGCGTCCTAAGCGCTGTGCCACCGACGCACTGATTGTACATTAGTGGATATATATAACAAAGGGATGAGAAAGTTCAGCCTTGCTGAGATGTCTTTAGTTCGATTCCTGTAAGAGATTTGATCGGATCTTGTATAAAACTTTGAAGAATTTCTTAAATTAAAATGAGTATCCTGAGTTGATGAGGTGTTCTGCTATCGAACTATAGAAACACTTCCGTTCCCCTCCTGCTAGGAAGGCTGGATAATGTTTTCAAGAGCATTTTACGAACAGAGACTATTAGAGGTATGGTTCAAAGTCATTCTGAATGGCACAAATACATTCACTCTTTGCGATCTGCCATAGGCCGTAAGTAAACCTTAATGTCTTTCTATGTTAGTATTCTTTCTTCTGTACATTTCTGATCAGTATAGTTTCCCTTTTGAATTTCTTTTTCCTCTCTTTTGTCTACTTTTGTGTGCTATATGGAATGTGGTCACATGAACTGGTACACTTCTGTGCTAAGTTCTGCGTTGTAACTCATTCAGTCAGTCAGTTTACGACCAACGTAATCAGCTCCACAGGGACAAGTGAACTGATAAGTTGAAAAATCACTATCCTAGAAACAAGTTCAACCTCTGTTCTATTTAAGTATATTTCTCTCTCAAGCACACTCTCGAGTTGATTGAGCCCTTTTGATTTAGAATTCGTTATCGGTATTTACAAGTTAGGTAATTCTACTGGCAAAGTGGGTACTACACAGTATGTTGACTTGAGTAAGACTAGTTAAGCACTGCAGAATAATAATAACAACAACATATCTAGTAGCTTAGACCATTGCGTAATACTGTAACGACAGAAGACAAGAGCAAGGCAACAGATCCCTTATTGAGAAACTCAAGAGGTATTTATAGATTTTTATTTACATTATTATTAGCGTTATTGTTAGCGGGAAGCGACCTATTCTTATCGGTTGTTTTCTTGCTGAAGGTTATTCTGTAGTACTTGTGACCGTTTCTTAGGAATTTAAGCCATATATCTGCGAATCGTATTTGCACACGTTAAGTCTGCTGTGATTGGTTAGTGAGCTCCTCAAGGTTAAGCTTTGTTATTGTTTTTTCTCATGACCCCGATTCGGGATGTAAACATTGACGTAAATTGTTGTCTACAATTTTGGTTTGCAGACAGCTCTCATCACAGTATCACTGTCCTCTTACGCCTACAACACTACAACTAACACGATCTCATACCGGAGGCTCGTAGAATATCAAGCGATTTCCACCTTCATCTTGAGTTAAAAATCCTCACTATTATATCTGAACAACTAACAGCATTAAAGAAAAGATCAACTGTGCAGTATGATTATTGCTATTATTGTAACACAATATGGTACATAATAGGCACCAAGGGATGTAACACACAAAGTCTCATAGATTGTGCGGGGACTGAGATAGCGTCCAGACCTAACCAGGAAATTATCTTAATCGGCCAACCTCTCCCTCCCAAGCCTTTCACTTGACATCTGATCCACAAGGCGGTGAAGCAGCGTCAGAAGTTGCGTTCCTATGGTTTCTGGTGTCCAAAACAGTTTCATAGGCCATTTACACCATAGGTTTGGAATAGGGGTTTTGAAGCTCCTCTAGGTAGACATGCATGAGGACCATTCTGTTTGTAAGTGTCAAACATTCGTATTCACACTTTCACTTTTTTGAGGAACACCCCCACCGTGTGAAGCCAGGTGTAGGTTAGAAGAGTACGGCTTTCAACTTTACTCTAACATTCTTGAAGATAGATCGCTTATTTAGCCGACCCAGACTGTTCATAAATATAGTGAATTCAGATATATCTAACTCCAAGATGATGATACGGTCCTTCCATTGAATTTCTGTTCATCCAGATGAGTTGGAAAAACCTGACCATCAATAGGATTTCAATGTCACTACAAACTGTTTACTTAAAATAACGGAGAAGATTTGTAGCTCAAGTGGATGATTTGCAATTAGTTGTGTTCTCTGAGCTGGTCGGTTTCATTGCGAAGCTTTTTTTAATACTAAAAGTTGCACTGAAGATGTTGTCCAGAAGGACGACAAAAGCTTAGCAATTAAACCAACCATCTCAGAGAACACAACTAATTGCAAACTTTGATCGGTGTCTTACAGGAGGTCAATGGCAAGCCCAAATAGCTCCTCAGTGGTAACGTCTGTGACTGCAGCACTGCACTATGTGACGGGTTTGAATCTCAGAAGGGACATGAGTTCCTTCAAGGTTGCAGATACGTCTTGTTGACGAGTACCAACTAGCACGAAACCTAGGTCCAAGGCTTCTTGCCGACTGTCTCCAACCATCTAATATCATCTAACTGCAAACTGTTTACTAGTCTAACTGAGACAAGGTGATATACGGATCGAAAGAACTAATAAAGTGAGATATGAACAGACAAAATGAATTCCAACTATATCAAATGTGGAAACAACCAGAAGTTAATGTTTATAAATAGAATCCTTGCGGATAACAGTAAACGTTCTTATAGACATATGAAGATAACCTTTAAATGAAAATTTTCATTTAATGCTTAAATCACTACATGCGGAAATAAGTTAACGTTGATAGGCAGAGAGATCAAAAAATAATTAATATATTTGACGAGGTTTTATTTGTTGATACCACTAGGCAAAAAAATCTCATCCACAGTATACTGGCGCGTCGGTCGGTTTCAGTGGTAGAATGCTCGCCAACCATTCTGGTGGTTCAGGGTTCGATCCCCGTCTGATTCACTCTTAAACCTTGCTAACTAAGACAGTAGGGAACCCGGGAAAGAGAGGAGGTTGGGCGTGAGACTAGTAGCCCTCTTCCAACCTCGTGAAAAACCAACACCGCTACTGAAACTTCAAACTTTAAAACTTGACGCCCTATGTTCCCATCAAAATGCGAAGGAATGAATACCGGTTCTTTACAGGTCTTAATGAAGGTTAGCGTTCAAGATAACGGTCACAAATCGAGTTAGTTTAGTTGGGACTCGATATCACTGAGCAGTGCGTCGGTGGCATAGCGGTTAGGACGCTTGCCGACCATGCATATGGTCCGGGGTTCGATCCCTGGCCACAGACGCACTCCTTGACCTCACTAAGCTAGAAATAAAGCTGGTGAAGAGGAAAGGTTGGGCATGAGGCTAGCAACACCATCTTGTAAAAATAAACACTACCACAGAAACTTCAAGACTCTAGCTTGAAGCCCTATGTTCCGCTGGGAATGTGAAGGAATAAAAAAAATCACTGAGCAGTAAACAATCCACACCAGCGAACATATACGCAATCAATTCAACGACAGAAAAGCTATTTTCTTTCTACCTATCGTTATACCACCATTCAGTCAATGCTTTAAAGTCTTCATAGGAATTAAACTTACAAAAATAAAGATAAATTAGCAAAACTGTAAAAACTTACAATCATTCTTTCCATAGGACTTCCACTACTGTAAGTACTGACTAATGTGGATGAACATTTCTCTAAATACCATGGACGTGTATTCGATTCACTGACACCGCTAACAGACAGCGTGAACGGGCTACTTGAATAACCATCACAAGCGCATGAATCATCTAACGAACCACCATTACCTGATGCCCATACATAAATATTGCCAAAACCTCTACGACCCTAAACAACAAAAATAAAGAAAAAAGGGAAGATAAAAATCATCACAAAAGTGTCTTAATGGTAAAGAAATCAGAATGAATTGACAAATACTAGTTCAATTGCTTCTGGAAAACTCCGTATATTGGTCGTACCGTACGCATACTTGTAAAACACACTCGACCTGGCTAGGTAAAGAATAACGTGTGTATGTCTATAGCTCAGTAACAAGACATCTCGTGAACTAATGCCACCCAGTTCCATTTGGAAAATCCTTCAAAGTCCTATACAAGATCCGATCAAAGGGAGCGAGATAAAGGCATCTGGGTATAGCTATTCATCAAAAGAAATACCTTTGTCTTTACTATGGCAATCGTAAACAGTCAGTTTTCTGAATAAATATTAACCTCCTATGTTGCATTTATACGAACTTCCTGCTTATTTTTCACATTAATATTTGTAATCTCATTATTCGTTACAATTTACTGCTTGACCGGAAATAGTTCTGGAATTTTCTCACTCCTTTTACTGTATGCATACACGAATGTACAACCCAGTTGATGATTTCGTTGAAGGGGGAATTTTCATCGCAGCAACCCTCTTTTTTTAATTTGTCCTGTAATGTAATGTATATAATATGCAACTGAAATCTTTCTCAGGGATAAGGTTTCCATCCATACAGTCCTGTTAGTATTCACTTCACATACCGATGAATTCGTGATATCAAAAGAGGAAAAAGCAGATGTTTGGGCACTTGCAAAACAATCACTGAAAAAAAACAGCGTGTATACATGTTTGAAAGAAATCCTCTTGCAAAATGGATATCCACCAAGATTTATTGACAAGAACAACAAGCCGAAAAATCCAAAAAAAACAAGAGATGTCATCTGTGTCAAAAAAGAAACTTTACATGAACACCTCAACTTCAGAGGTGACCTATTCAGTGATGTCCTTAAGAGGAGAATTTCGGCTTCTTTAAGAAGAACTTTCTTCGCAACAAAGCTAAGAGTAGTTTTCTTCAGTCTTCCAAAGGACAAGATCTCGCATCAGATCACCTGTTCTTGCGGAGTAAGGTACACTGGTCGTTTGACGCATATCCTGTCTAAAAGTGTTCAGGAACGCTGTGCCACATGGTTGCAGAAATGTAGTAGTGGCTCTATAAGGAGTGTAATAATCGAACACCACATCAACACATTGGTCATTCCGTCTTAAAAAATGCCTCCTTCACGGTAACCTAAAAAGTGAAGAACAGCTAATCAAAGGCAATACGCTTTCGTCTTCCCTGCATTGCTCGGGTTGTAGCCATTCAGTTAGAAAAGCCAGAGCCCTGCATACAATAGAAAATAATTCACCCAGCTAATACTACTACTGTGGTGAGAGCTGGCTGCTAGCCAAGGTTGGTAGACAGTAATTGACGTCAATATTTATGTCCCCAATATTGGTGGTGAGAAAAAATGAGAACAAAGGCTCTGCGTAGGCGGATACAGTTAGCATATGGATGATCTGACACAGCCACAAAGAGAAGCAAGGTTAACTTTCTGTGAGAAACAACCAATCAGAAGACTGTATTTTCTACTAACAATAATCTACAATAATGTACATTAAAATCTATAAATATGTGTTGATTTTCCTTAATAAACGATCTATTGCCTGGCCCTTGTCTTCTGTTGTTACACTACTAGTATCATTGTAACAACCTTGTTGAATCTACTGACTAGATTTTTGTTTATCCATTTTTCTAACGCCTTATAAATCATGTATTTCTTTAGACCTCATACATAATTCCACATTTTCCTTGGTTTCCATGTGGATCCTGATCACAACTCATTCATTGAATGTTTGTTACAGGATTTCATCATTAGTTGACATCGGTTAGAGAACCATTGGAAAACCTGGGAGTATTGGATAGAAGTTAGAATTCATAGGCCATTGAGTCGGGTCCCAGTGGCTTAGTGGTCTACGAGCTTATACCTTGTGATCAGAAGGTCCTGGGTTCGAACCCCGGTGGGTGCGTGCTGATGAGGAGACGAAGACTAGGAAGAAACAGCTGTCCTACACTCCCTAGTGATCTGATGGCTCTCTTACCGATGTCAGCTCATGAAGAAATTCTGTAACCAATCAAATACCTGTAAACCAACACAATCCATCACTTTTGTTACCACCGTCTTTCATGAGAAAAACTGAATGTAAATGTGACTGTATAGCTAAATTGGAAAATGAATTCACCGAAAAGAGAGTCTTCGTTAAACTATTTGTCATATATATATATATATATATATATATATATATATATATATATATATATATATATATATATATATAGTCACTCAGTAGCTATAGAATATAAAAGGAAATAATAACAGTATTTCTCTCTATTTCCTTTTAAAATTAAAGGAAGGAGGAGAAAATCAATGAAAACGTGTAACAGTTTGAAGAAAATGAGATCTACAACATGTGCACACTCACACGAACATACACACACACAGATATACTGCCTTTTTACTGAAGAAGAGGTGACCTCCCAAATGGACACATTAACGACATATATATATATCTTCCTTTGAGTGGGACTGTGAATTATTGGTCTAGGCGCTAAACTTTCGCGGCTAGTGGGTCACGAGTTCGACCCCCGCTCCATCTACCGAGATTTCAGCCCTGAAATGCAATAAGTCTGGTTCATTTTAAACTGGGCAGAAATGCAATCGGCTGTTGAGTAACGCCTACATGTTATTTCGTGGAAAAATAATTATCGTCACTGGGATACATTTTAAAGAATATGACACACATACACACAAAGTGGGCATTCTTTTGATTAAATCCAGAATTAATGAGAATGGTATTAAGATGTATAATACGTAAGAGATTAGCACCCATTAAATAATGAAGAGACATAATAAAATCAACTTTACAAGGAATTAACATTTAAGGGAATATAAAAGTATATGCATACAAAGACAAATCTATGATTCCTCACAGTAGGTAAATGTAACACTTAATTGACTGAATTTCAACACAGAACTTTCCACTGAAATGCATCAGTACAAGTTACTACACTCTATAAAGCAAATAAAGTTAGACAAAATAAAAACGGAATTCATAAGGACTATAATGAGCATAAATGTACGGAAGACAGAATAATCACGTGGAAAAACATAAGGCTTTAATGGATGCAGGCGATTATAAAGAGTGAGTGTTCTGTGTCATTCAGAACGATTTTTAAGTTATATCCCAAACAGTCGCAAGGTCAGTGGTTCTTAGCGTCTCGACGACCCCTCAACCAGGTAGTCTACACCTTCCTACATATCTGACTTAAATCAATTGTCAAGGATTTCATAGGTCGGTCGATTCCAGATTTTGATTTGACCACATTTAACTCATTCCGCATCTAAGCCCAAAATCAGCCAACGTTTCTCATCCATGAAGGCGGTGGCTTGACACATAACTTTACAACCTGACTGATTGACCTTCCTTCCTTACCTAGCATACTCTATAATAAGCAGCATTGCATATGGCTTCACACGGGAGATAGAAATCAACAGTAATGAACAAGAATCTAAAAAGCACAACATGACATAGTCAAATTTCGTTGGTTCTTTTCAACTACATACAACCTAGATATAATTTTAATATCATTAATAAAGAAAATACTCAAATACTTTAGTTATTAGGCTTGCATATTTTGTATACTGATGTTAATAAATTATTTTACGGGATGTACACTCAAAAGAAACCAGTGAAATAAAAATAACATCATATTATCCTGTTCAGATGGTTGTTCTCACTCTGTTCAAGTTCATTAGGCGGAAAAATTGTATGAAGTATAAAAGAATAATTAACTATTATCCTCAGAACCTGTGAACAGGAACAAAGGAGTACTGGACAGCTGTTTTGTCCTAGTTTGGGATTCTCCAGCAGTACTCACCCACCACAGTGGGATTCGAACCCAGGACTTCCTGGTTACAAGGCGAGCTCGTATACCATTAAGCCACTGGGACCCGATGCAGTGGCGATCCGGTGGGTGCGTACTGTGAAGAGTCCCAAACTAGGACGAAACAGTTGTCCAGTACTCCCAGGTTTTCCAATGGTTCTCTAACCAATGTCAGCTCATGATGAAATCCTGCAACCAATCAATCAAATCCCTACAAACCAACACTTGAATAAGGAACAAAGGAATTTAGTGAAAACCACTTATATATATATATATAAAGTCGACTATGTGTGTGTTTAATGGTTATCAGATTTTACCTAGCTATCTGGGCGGTTCTATCCCTATTGAAATTCAAATATTATAAACCATCATCTCTCTCTTATAGCACTATTAAATACACTGGAAAAATAAATATTGTTAACCTGACAATGGTTTATGGCTTTGATTCAAGTACACCGATATCATCCGGTGATATGAAACTACATGCGCACACAGATAAATCGTATTGAATTAATTTCTACTGTTTATGTATGCGTATTTATTATTTTTATTGTGGTATCTTATGTCTAATCGTTACTTTACTTACTTTATTCCTTTACATTCCTAATGGAACATAGAATTTCAAGCTTCAGTTTTGAAGGTTAGACAACAGTGGGATTGTTAGCCTTGTGCCCAACCTTCCCCTATTGACCATGCTTACTACCTACTGGGTTAGTTAGCGAAGTTTTTGCTGTGAGTTTAGTCCACCAAGGGAGAGGGCTCTCGAGTGGTTGCGTCACAGGATGATACTACATCCTGATCTCGTGTCACAAGAAACAGGGAGAGGTGCGTTCAGTTCTCCTGAAAACCAATGTGTAAATGCCCAGTCAGTGTGTCTGTCATTATGTGAATGTGTGCGTCGGTGATTCAGTGGTAGAACACTGACCAACCACCAAAGTGGTCCAGGGTTCGATTCCCGGCCGACTCATTCTTTTACCTCGCTTAGCCAGCAATAAGCCCGATAAAGAGGTAAGGTTTCGAGTGAGACAAGCAGACTCATCCACTGCTACTGAATCTTCAAAGCTCTGGCTTGAAGCTTAATGTTCCACTGGGGACG